GGCACTTTGCATTTTAGGACACAACTGCAGATGTTTTCAGTCACAGTAAGCAGATCTGCTACTGTATATGTACAACAAGGGATGTCACAGTAGTAAATACTGTAAGCACATCCTTTTCAGTTCACTTGAAAATGTCTCCTTCCTAATAAAGCTTCTCTCTTCAGATATGAGCTGCATGAAATGCAATTACCACTTATGGCAGGAGAGGCCACTGTTGCCACTGTTTCACTTGGGGTTGTGTTTGTTTTTGACAATCATGAGGCTTGTTTTGGAAGGCATGAACTCTTTAATCAGAACTCCATCGCCATGTTCTCACTAACCCCGACTCACCAACTTCCTCTCTACTAATGTATACCCACATAAGTAGCCGGTACTTAGTGCCTCCCTGGCGGTAACTATGTGTAACTGCACTGATCATCACATCCCCCTTTCTTTGAAGATATTAACTGTACATCCGATAAATCTTGAACATGTTATTTTTTTCAATACTTATTAACACATTCAAATCAGATAATCTGGCAACACAACTAACATGCCTGTACTCCTAACAACCTATTACTACCAAAATAAAATCAACCCTGTCATGCTCATTCTACGTTTGGTGTCTTTAGAGATTTGGTCTGGCTGGCTTCCTAATTACTCATGCAGACCTCCTCAGTTCAGGTTTAGCTACTGGTGTGCCCTTTTTACAGTCTGAGAGAGATGTGGTGAGGTGTGGTCCTTTGTTATCACTGTCCAGTGCATCACTTGCTTGTGGAGTCTTTAACAGGTTGCGGCAGTTTCGCCTGAGAACATGTCCAGCCTCAGTCCTCACTATGAATAATCGTGATGCCACTGCCTGTAGTACGGTTCCCTTTGTATTCCAACCATCAGGATTTTCAATCCGCACCGAATCAGTTCTTGCCAATACTGGTAGCAATTTAGCTGAAGCGTCATAGAAGGTCTTTTGTCTAATTTTCTGCTGCTGCTGTCGTTTTCCCAGCTTTGCATGTGTCCCTCTCTTGACGTTGTAGTTTGGGTAGCTTGGTAATGTGGTACATAGCTTCCTATTCATTAGCATTTCGGCAGGTGACAATCCGCACCGAAGAGGAGATGCTCGGTAACTGAGAAGAGCTAGATAGTGATCTGAAGTACTGTCTGTTGCTTTTTTAAGAGCTGCTTCAGGATGTGTACTCCCTTTTCTGCTTATCCATTTGACTGTGCGTAGTATGGACCTGATGTGACATATTGAAAGTCATACTGCTCTGCAAACCTTTGCCATTCCACACTGTTAAAACAAGAACCATTGTCGCTCACTACAGTGTGTGGGATGCCATGTCTGGCAAATATAAATTTTACATGAGTTATGACACATGCTGATGATGCATTTGTCAGCAACGCCATCTCCAGGAAATTGGAGTAGTAATCGATTACCACTAGATAGTCTTTACCTTTGAAATGAAACAGGTCCATTCCCACTTTGTGCCAGGGTGATGTGGGAAGCTCCATTACCACCATTGGCTCTTTGCTTTGTCTGCTTCTGTGCTTCTGGCATGTCTCACATTTGCTTATTAGTGTCTCAATGTCTTTGTTGAGCCCAGGCCAGTAGACTGACTCCCTTGCTCTCCTTTTGCACTTCTTGATCCCGAGATGTCCCTCATGAATCCTATTTAGTATGTCCTGCCTTAGCACTTGTGGGATCACTATCCTCCCCTTCTTGAGCAGGAGTCCATCCACACAGCAGAGGTCACCATGGACATGGTAGAATTGTGAACATGAGCCAGCAGGCCACCCCTCATCCATATTTTGAATGACATTTTGAATGACATATTGCAAGTCCACATCCTGTTTTGTAGCTTCTGCTATATGTCTTGACTTTTTGTCTGACACCAACAACACAGTAACAACCATATTGACATGGTGTTCAACATCGTCCTCTGTAGTACTCACACAGCAGTACGCATGTCTTATCTGTGTGCTATAGCTTTTATTTTCTCCTGGTCAGGTTCAACGCCGTGAGCTGTTAGTTTGTCTCCCAAAAAGAGGATTTCGCTGACCCCAAACTCACACTTGCTTTTATTGAGTCTTAGTCCATACTTTTGGATGCGCTCCATCACTCTGTAGAGTCTTCTGTTATGTTTCTGTAATGTTGAGCCCCAAACTATGATGTCATCAATATAAACTCGAACTCCTTCCAAACCCTCAATGATTTGTTCCATGGCTCTATGGAAAATTTCTGGTGCTGATTTTATTCCAAAGGGCAGTCTGAGATAGCAATACCTGCCATACGGTGTATTAAAAGTGCAATACTTGGTGCTGTTTTCCTCCAGTCTCAGCTGCCAAAAGCCTTGTGATGCATTGAGTTTTGTGAAATATCTGGCTCCTTCCTGCCATTTCGCTGATGATTTCTTCTCGTGTGGGTATCTGGTAGTGTTCACGTTTTATGTTGTCATTTAGATCTTTGGGATCCATGCCTATTCTCAGCTCTCCATTTTTTTTTATTTGTGGCTACCATTGAGTTGTCTCAATCTTTTGGTTCCTCAACTTTTCTGATCAACACCAGCTCAGTCATTCTCTCAAGCTCCATCTTTAGTGCATCACGCAGTGGTGCTGGAACCCTGCATGGAGCATGCATGACTGGTTTTTTGAGCTGGATTTCGTATGTAAATGGCAGTGTACCAAACCCTCTGAAAATATCCGTAAAGTGTTGCACTATGTAGTCCATATTGTCTGAAGTGGCTGAAAAATGGAAACTTTCTCTCAAACTATTTAGTTTCTCAGTTCACCCTGACAACACCTTTAGCCTGCCCCTGACTAGGATGTTTTAATATAAATACAACCAGTAACGTTTCACTTAACATTTACTAAACCTGGATCCAATTATTTCCATTTTTACAATCAATTCTACTCTTATATGCCAGTAAAAGTGTGGTTCTACATCTTGCATATTTGTCTCCATAACTGTTTGGTTTTGAAAGCCCTCTCCGAACACCCACTCTGTTACTGCTGAAGATGTTGGCCAGTGGAAGTGTGAGCTAAAGAACTCTAATTGAGCATAATTAGACTCCACTGCATTTATCAACAAGTTAGTCCTGTTTTTAGTGGTTTTACACATCAGGCTTATGAGTTGCACTGTGGTTCTGATAACACCGTCCATGTGTCTTGACTCGTGTACCAGTATTGACCATAGGGGGTGGGGGACACTGAACATGTGTTCGGTGTTTCTAAAATAGGAAATTCAGTCACTGCTTGTTAGCCAATCAAATAAGATCCCCACTTGAAGAGAGAGAGCGTATGCAGTCTCTCTACACTCATCAAGACATTTTGATCATGATGGCATGTCTGAAGTTTGCCTTATACCTGACTTGTGCGTTACTGTGGAGAATAGGTAAGTTGGGCATTTGGTGGATATATTTACATCCCTAAATGTTTATCCATTGTTGATAGAATTTCTAACTGTTTTTTCAGTCATTTTGATAAATATATCATGGTATCTTGTCTCCTTTCTCTTCAGAACTGGCAACTAATAATAAATTGTCTTCATCTGTGCATCAGGATGGTGGTTTTATATCAGCTAATGTT